GTGCTTTAGTCTGAGGCAGTGAGTTATGGGCTCCATTAGTAAAACTGGATTTGAAGCAATGAGACAAATTTCCCTCTGAAACAGTTCTGTTGGTGTTCTGCAACAGTAACCTCGGGGTAAAACACAAACTTTGCAAAGTACAAAACTGAAATAAGTCTTTTCACCTTTAAATCAATGTGTGTATCCCTGATGCTGATCTCCATGGGCAGCACCTGGGAGGCCGAGTCGTCCTCCAGGAAAAGGGAAAGGTTGCGGAGCGAGGACATCATGAAGCTCGCCGTGTAATCGTGAAGCTGCAGCTGGAGGAAGCCGTTACGTTCAGCCAACGGGGAGTGGGCGGCGGCCCAGGGCCCGCTTTCCAGCCGAGCCCGGACCGCCGGACCGTGAAGGCCCTGGATGGATGAAGAGCTGGTCTCGCCGCCAGCTGGGAAGGAAGACATATAAGCTGTTAACATCAACGCCACATTTGTGAAGCTTGGAGATAAGACAAGTCAGCTTAAACACACCCGACATTAAAATCCACCCAACATGAAATAAGGCTGGTGTGTCTTTTGAAAGTGCCCAGGAATCTGACAAGAAGAACATTTCACTTCTTGTCTAATTCAAGATTTGGACCGTTTTAATCTCTCTGTGTAATCAGGTCAAACCATCAGCTGATATTAGCTGACTGCAAACTTTTATCTCGAGATGGTTTTGAACCTACTATGAACACTGGTCGCAAATTTATGTCAGAGAAAAGAAAAAAAAAAGATGGTGCCAAAATCTCTCTTTTTTCCTTTTTCATTCCCTTTTCTCAACATCAGTGTAGAGTCACTTTATTAGGTACACCTTGCTAGTACTTGGTTCGACCCGCTTTTGGCTTCAGAAACAACTTAACTCTTCGTGGCACAGATTCAACGAGGTGCAGGAAACATTCCTCTGAGATTTTGGTTCATACTGACATGACAGCATCAAACAGCTGCTGCAGATTTATCCAGTGGATGGAAGAAGGAGATATCTGAGTAAAGGACACTCATTTTCATGCTCAAGAAACCAGTTTAAAATGAGTTTTGTGACATTGCATGTTATCCTGCTGCAAGCAGTCATCAAACAGTCGGTACAATATGGGCAGACATAGTCGGCAACAATACTCAGGAAGGCTGTGGTGTTTAAATGATGCTCGGTTGATACTATGGGGTCCAAAGTGCACCAGAAAAACCCACTATTATCCCAAACAATTACTCTACCCGCAGCTGTTTGAACTGCTGATACAAGGCAGGATGGATCCATGCTTTCTTGCTGTTTAAGCTAATTCTCATCCTACCATCCGAATGCTGGGGCTGAAAAATCAAGAAGCATCAGACTCTTTGGGTGCTACCATTCACGTGGATGTCACTTACCACCCACCAAAACACTGCAGCAGACCAAGCACACCATGTCACACTACCAAAAACTGCTCAGGAACCACTAAAAGAATGTCACAAAGAGCTTTG